TCAATTTTGAGGTAGGACTACGTCTGTGATTTCTACACTTTGTGAAAACCGAAAATGTAACATGTAACAAAATTATGAAAGATTTTGACCGTGAATAACTCAGCTGCTTCTGGATCAATTTCAATAATTTTATCACCAATCGATCATCGCATCTGTTACATTTAAGACTATATCATTTTTCAAAATTTCACTGTTGAAAATTGCACGAATGTGCAACTGTTGCTTTGATCACCGATTGCCTGCGAAAAGCGATTTCCCTAACACAGATTTCAAAGTCGAATTCCATCCGGTCTCACCAAATGGTGTTTATTCAATCACTGCTTGGAGAGTGGTGGTGTTCTCCAGTACACAACGCAAGGCTCCCCGCAAGCAGCTAGCTACCAAGGCTGGCCTCAACCGCTGATCGTATTCAATTCCAATTCCCGTGTGTGCTGGTGTCCGGTCGTTGGCATCAGCTGCAGCAGCAGCAGTGCTTTCGGCGCGTAGCGTTGAACATTGTTCTCCAGTACACAACGAAAGGGTGCCTGCAAGCAGTAAGCTGCAGCCCACATGAGCATCCATAGAAGGAGGAAGAAGCCACACCGCTACTGATCGGATTCAGTTGCTCGTCATGAGTCGTTGTGGGCCATCTATGTCAAGCGCGTCATACTAAAGAGTATAAACAGAGAGAACCCCGCTCAAATTCCTATTCCTAGACAAGCTCCTGCTGCAGTTAACAAATAAGATTTATTATATAAGACCACGTAGTCCTACGTCACCATTGCGTACAACCTCATAGGGCTGTCCCTTGTAGTTTTTTTTTCTTGGCAGTTCCACGGATGTTTTTCCGACTTTACTTAGAACTTTCCTCAAACATCCTTCTAGGAGAGCTTCTTTCTTCTTTCTCTGGATGTTTTTTTTCAGTTCCCTTCAGAAGCTAATTTATACATTCTCCAACTCTTTCTTTCAGAATTTTACGATCATAATCAAAAAGTTAAAATCTTCGCTTTCAAAAACAGCTAAAACATAAACCTTTGATACCGATAATCTTTAAAACAATCGCTGGTCAGGGATCGAGTAGCTGTTTACGAAGCATAATGGAAGTGATAAAAAAAGATTTTGAAGCATGAAGGCCAAGTCATAGCAGACGCGTATCTGAGGGGTAATATTTAAGAGATCGAAGCACGATTATTGTCTCTATTTGCAATTAGGAAAAGGAGATGAATATACCGTATATTTGGTGCTGTATATCGACGACTTACTTGAATCTAAGTTGCGAATAATTTGAAAATTTGAAAACCCAATTGACCCGTGAGCTTAGAAATGACAGATTGTGGTGCGGTAAGTTATTTCCTTGGGATGAAGATTGATTTCGATCACGATTGCGGTAGAATGCTGTTGCCCCAAAATACTGCTAGTGAGAAACTTTTGTAAAAGGTCGGAATGGAAGAATGCAATCCTACTCGAAGCCCGATGGAATAGGGCTTACAGCTAGATCGAAACACGACTGAAGAGTAACAGAAGCCTTATCGTGAGTTGCTGGGCAGTACCTACCGTACAACAACACTGGTCGGCACTTCAGCGAGTAATCCAATACATAAAAGGTACGCAGAAATTGGCGATGGAGTTCGAAAGTCATGAAGACCAGAAACCACTTACCGAATTTGCAGAAGCAGATTGGGCAGCTGATCAAGAAGATCGCAAGTCTTTTTTTTTTTAAATTATAGTCACTTTAACACTCTTGGGTCATTCGTGACTTGTCCGGGGTAAGATTTGAACTCGTGACTTTGGCGTGAGAGGTATGGATGTTAACCACTACGCCGGGGTCGCCCCCGATCGCAAGTCAGTAAGTGACTTTGTATTCAAAGTTTACGAAATAAAGGGTGATACGGTCAAAATTTGGTCAAGGGAAAACGCGTGTAAATCGGTGAAATCGTTTATTTAAAAAATCAAATTAAATTTCTTTTTCAAGTTCAATTAGTATAAAATTCAGGAAAAATATTCAGTTTGGCTTCCGCTTTTCCAAATCCGAATTGCCGGGCCTTACGCTTGACCCCTGCCATCAGATTTTGTACAGCCACCTTGTCCACCTTCTTCGCCGCAGAAAGCCAGTTTGCCTTGAACTGCTGCTCGCCCTTAGCAGTTTTTTTGGTCTTCTTTAGGTTCCGCTTGACAATAGCCCAGTATTTCTCAATTGGGCGGAGCTCTGGCGTGTTGGGAGGGTTCTTGTCCTTGGGAACCACCTGCACGTTGTTGGCGGCGTACCACTCCATGACCTTTTTACCGTAATGGCAAGATGCCAAATCCGGCCAAAACAGTACGGAACAACCGTGTTTCTTCAGGAAAGGCAGCAGACGTTTATTCAAACACTCTTTCACGTAAATTTCTTGGTTGACAGTCCCGGAAGCTATGGAAATGCTGCTTTTCAAGCCACAGGTACAGATGGCTTGCCAAACCAGATATTTCTTTGCGAACTTTGACAGTTTCATGTGCTTGAAAACATCTGCTACCTTTCCCCTTCCTTTTGCCGTATAAATCTCCTGTCCCGGAAGCTGCTTGTAGTCGGCTTTGACGTAGGTTTCGTCGTCCATTACCACGCAGTTAAACTTCGTTAGCATCGTCGTGTACAGCCTCCGGGATCGCGCTTTGGCCGTCGTATTTTGTTTATCATCGCGATTTGGAGTCACTACCTTCTTGTAAGTCGATAGTCCGGCTCGTTTTTTGGCTCGATGCACGGTTGTAGACGATACACCCAGCTTATTTGCGGCATCTCGGAGAGAGAGGTTAGGGTTTCGCTTGAAACTACCGGCAACTCTCTTCGTCGTCTCAGCGGCTTCCGGTTTTCGATTTCCCCCCTATCCAGACTTCCTGGCTGTCGACAAACGTTCCCCAAACACTTTAATTACATTTGTAACGGTTGATTTGGCAACTTTTAGCGATTTTGCCAACTTTGCGTGTGAGTAGCTCGGATTTTCGCGATGCGCGAGCAAAATTTTGATACGCTGCTCTTCTTGCTTGGACGGCATTTTGACAACTGAAGAGTGAATTCCAAAATCAAAATAGGAGCAACATTCTACACACACACACCTTCAAAATGAGGGGTGTTCAGGTATTTTAAATGCAAAATTGAAAGAAATACGTCAAGTTGATATTGACCAAATTTTGACCGTATCACCCTTTACGATGTGCAGCAGAATATATTGCTTTGAGTTATGCAGCGGCCGAAGCAATCTGGTTGACCAGAATTCTCACTGATTTGGGCATAACCGACGTTGAATCAGTTAACATTTTTGAAGATAACCATGGATGTATCGGTATGGAGAAGAATTTAGAATCGAAGCGTGCAAAACATATCGATATCCGTTATCATTTTGTAAGAGATCATGTTGCCAAAGGGAATCTTGAAGTCCTACCGATTGGAACTAAAAATCAACTGGCAGACATCTGTACCAAGGATAGCAGCAGTTCCAAATTCTTCGTATGAATCTAGGATTGAACGATCGAAGAAGCCTGTGATGAAGCAAGAAGCGATCGTTAGAAACTACTCAAGAAGTGTAGACGTGTATTCTCTTTGCTTTAATAAACCACAGACAAACAGACATAACTCATTGAATATTTTTCAATATAAAACATCGTCACTAAAACACTACCGCCATCTGTTGAGTATACTGTGATGGGTAGTACGCTGAACAGATGGCGGTAGTGTGTAAACGTCAAACGCAAGGGTTACTGACTATGTGTGCCACAGGTGGCGGTACCACCAACTAAAAAAAAATTAAATTGACCGTTAAATGCGTGTTCGATGAACAAATTTCCTGTGTTATGTCTGTTTGTCTGTGATAAAACTATTCCTGTGTCATTTTCTGAGTTCCAGAAAGACCGAATCTCTTAAACTAGTATGACTCAAACTGAAATTATGGAAACTCTAGAATTGCTTAGCATGATTCTGAGCTTTTCCCGAATTTATGATCAAAATTTGACAACCTTCTTTAAACGCTGAAATAGGCTTTTGAGGTTTTTTCTTCAAATAATTTGTGAGTTTCTTAAAGGGGATGGAGCTGGAGTCTGATTTCTAAACATTATTTTCAAAAATTTTGTTCCTCACGGCAGAGCATCGCTTTTTAATTTGTTTTTGCAAATCTCGCCAGATAACTTTCATGGCAGGATCGCTTGTTCTTTGATATTGCCTCCTACGGACATTTTTCAGACGGATCAAGAGCTGAAGATCGTCGTCTATTATACTTGAATCGAATTTAACCTCGCATTTTGGTACTGAGGCAGCTCGTGCTTCAACTATAGAAGTAGTCCGAGATTCAAAAGCATAATTAACATCATCTTTGGCTTGCAAAGGAATATATGGATCAAAGTTATATTCCATAAATGTTCGATATTGCTCCCAATCAGCTTTATGGTAATTGAAAGTAGAACTGTTAGGATTAGAAACGATTTCTTGGGAGTTAAAAAAAATACTGGAAGGTGATCAAAACCAAAGTCAGTATGGATAACCAATTGACTATAAAGTTGATATGAATCATTTATGACCAAATCGAATATGCTTGCTAAAGAAAAGCATATTGGGCTGTTTGGATATTAAATAGTGTGACAACCTGCAAAACAATCATCAAACAGAATATTACTATTGGAATTGCTGTGAGAATTATCATCATTATGGATCATTTGAAATAGAAATGGCATGGTAATAAATCGTTGGTTAATTAAAACAAAAGATCAGTTCAATTGAACCCTCCTTTTTAAGGCAGTTTTAAACAATACTTTGTTTCATTATAATTGAATTATGTATTTACTTTTTTGAACTAATCGATTTAATTCTCTATTACGTTTTCAAAGGGACGCAACTTTTTTTTTATTATAATCAGTATAAAATACAATCTAGTATCCGTTTACGTTTATCACTTGCACCTCTTTCCCTCAAAATTAAAAACTCAAAACGGAAAACGAAAACAGTAAATCATAAATCGAGTAATGAACTTTCCCTGAAAATTCCCCATGATCAATTTCAGACGCTCAATGGTTCGGCACCAAGAAGAAGAAGGAAGAAGATCCAAATGTGGCCCTGCTTTCCTACAACCCGGTAGATCCAGATGCCGTTCCACCACCGCAGCCGGCACCAACAACAAGTACTACAAGCACCACCACCCCAGCTCCTACTACGACCAAGAAGACGGGTTTCTTCGGTGGACTCTTTGGCGGAGGCAAGGAAAAAGAACCTAAGACAACCACCACCACGACTCCCAAGCCCACAACGACAACTGCGGTACCCACCAGTACGAAGAAATCCAGCGGTTTCTTCGGGGGACTGTTTGGCGGAAGCAAGAAGGACAAGACTACCACGGTTGCTCCGACTACGGAAAAAACCACCGCCAAGGGAGCCGTAACCGTACCGACCACTACGGTCAAGTCCGCAGCCGTCACTGTCTCTACCCCTAAGGCCATCACTCCTGTCGTTGCACAAACAAGTACTGTCAAACCTGGAACCCCCACGGTAGCTACCCCAACCAGTACGAAGCCTTCCACAGCTAAGGATGCCTTCCCAGCTCTGCCAGCGGTTTCAACAACTGCTGCCTCAGCTCCAAAGCCCCCTCCAATTCCACCGAAAGCATCCGACGCCTTCCCGGCTCTTCCATCAAAGCCGGGCAGCCCAACACCGGCTTCCGTACCAACCTCAACCATCGCCAACGCTTGGAACAAACCTCTCCCAACTCAACCTCCAGCCGTTCCCGCCGGAGGTAAACCCGGAGTAAGCTTCGTCCCCACCCAGGCTCCAGCCGCTGGTGGCACCACCAGAACTACTCCACGTTACTCCGAGGGCCCAACCGCAACCGACGACGAGTTGGCCACCCTCTCCGAGCAACTCTTCTCCAAGGAAAACACCAACCTCAACAAACACGTTCGGGCAAACTACCAACGGCAGACTCTATCCTCTTCCAGCGTTGACGAAGCCCCGAGCCCACTCCTTTCTATCGACGAACGCGAAGTATTTGCTATGCCGACGATCGAAAAGATGCGAGCCCTGTTCAACAACTACGAAGTGGACACCATGGTCAACGAGTACGTCACCCCCATGGAGAAGAAGGAGGAAAACGACTTCGTAGACGCTCTTCTGGCAACTTCGGTTATGCGTAGCGCTATGCTGTTCCTCCAGAAGAAGGGAGTTGTTACGGCTGACCCGAAGACGCACCACGAACTGCTGAAGACAATCTGGTTCCATCTGTACTCGCGAGGCAATGGAAAGATCGGCAGTTCTGGATTCGAGCACGTATTCCTGAACGAGGTTAGCAACGGGACGATGATCGGTCTGCACAACTGGGTCTATTTGTACGAGCAGGAAAAGTCCGGCCGTCTGGATTACCAGGGTTACATCAAGAAGATGGATCTGGGAACGGTAAGTTCTGCTGGATTCTGCCTAGAATCTGAATAATTCATTGTCATTTTTTTTTTCAATTACCAGAAGGGAGAGATCGCCAAGGTCCGGCTCACGTTCGATAAGCTGAACAAACCGTCCAACTCGCTGTTCATCGGAACGTCGCCCGAGCTGGAGATTGCCCTGTACACCGTGTGCTTCCAGATGCGCCCGGATACCGAGTGCCCGTTGGTTTTCAACGGCAAAAAGTTCACCCTCAAGACATTTACCTTCCGCTACCGGGGCAAGAACCTCATCGGAGGTGCTTGGCCCAACTTCTAGAATTACGACTATTGTAACACCACGAACTCAAGGCAACTGATATTCTCTACCATGTAGTCAATAGTTTTAATGAACTTTTTCAATTGTGTATTTTTATAGAAAAATAAAAACAATATCTATCAAAATAACTGGAGCGCAGCAAACCATGAATCCTTTCACTTGCTAAAAAAAAATACTGTACTTACGCGAATGTCAGTTGCCTAGCAATTGATCTTGAAACAGGTATTTGATTTTCCGAGACATGTCCCTGTTAACGTGATGGGAGCTCAAATTTAATTGTTTGAGAAAAGTTTTATCCAGCTACTTACTCGACGAATGCCGCCAATCCGATGGCGAACCAATCCGGTGCGAATGCTTTGCGTTTGTTCATCCGTATCGATCGAACGATCGATTTGGCCGCTACAGCCGGGTCAACTAGGGGAAGCTTTGCAAAATAACTGCAACGAAATGGTTCGCGAATGATGTGCAATTACTTTCTAATTAAAAGACTTACGGCATCTTCAGCACCGCATCCACCAGCTCCTTCCGCGTGTTCAACTGGAAGGGAAAAATCGTCGTCGTCTTGACCCACTTTGACATCCCCGCAATCCGTATCTCGTCGCGCAGTTCTTCCATGAAGCCTCTCATGGCATACTTGGTTGTGGTATAGTGCCTCATCAGCCCCACATTCAAGTAGGCCGCCGCCGAACTGATTGTCACTACGTGTCCCCTCCGTCGGACGTACATTCCCGGCAGGAAGGTGTTGACCGTCTAGAATGTTTAATCATTTTCAATTGGGTTCATTCATTTACTACATCATCTGAAAGATCCCATAGACTTTCATCTTGATTTTTAAATCAAGATTTAAAACAAAAGATACATAAATGACGAAGCATTTTAGGGTGACTTGCGATGTCAAATCAGCCTACTTATCTTTCTTATGTGACATTGGTTCCAAACGCAAACAAACCAAGGCTGTGTTCCATTTGGAAAAATTTCACTTAGATTTGACGCTTCGAAAATAAATTAAGATGTTCGAAAATCCCTCTGTTGTTGATCGGTTGATTTTCAAGAAAGCATCTGTCAAAATTGATTCCTTGTCTGTCAGAAATAAGTCTGCTCGAATAGTAGGTTTATTTGAAAATTTTCCATCTGTCAAATTTAAGTGAAAATTCAACAAATGTGGAACACAGCCCAAGTAGGTTTCTTGTAGCTTGTTAACGTTTGGAACCAGTTAAACGAGGTAGACGACGATTGTTCGTATATATTTGATAGCCACATCCAACGCCCTGAGAAAAATACGCTACAAGGGGGGTGGGACATCAAAGTTGGTGTTTCATGAAACGTAAACAAACGTTAACACTTTTCTACATGGCTGGTCACCCTAAAATGCAACGTCATTTATAGTGCGTTCAGACTACAGAGTTATAACATGTTATAGCGCTATCTTGATGGTGGTTTCTGTGTTGCAATTATTTGACAACCGTTATAACATGATATAAAACGCTGTCCAGACTGGAGAGTTATAACATGTTATAACGGTTGTCAAATAATTGCAACACAGAAAACACTATCAAGATAGCGCTATAACATGTTAGAACTCTGTAGTCTGAACGTACTATTAAACGCTCGACTTTGTTTACCTTTGTTACTATCGACGTAATGAAAATTTGCTCTTGATTGAATGTTCAGATTTTTCTAATTCCATACTCACATAGAAATTCGCCAAAATGTTCACATTCACCAACCGTTGCAGATTCTCCGGTACGTACTCATCGGAAACCAGAAACGCCACCAGTCCGGCATTGTTCACCAAAATGTCCACCGGACCCATCTCGGCTTCCACCTTTCGTTGCAAGTCTCGTACCTCAGCAGCGCTAGCCACATCCACCTGTTGCATAATGGAAACAAGCATAGTTCAATCAACCGCATGTTTTCAAGGTCCTCCTGACTGGTGTTTGTGTATTTGTTAATGGACATGAGCATACGCAGTAGGCAGCGGCTTTCACTCCATAGTAACGCAGCTCGAGAACCGTTTTCATCGCGTTGCACTCGTCCAAATCGGCCACGATCACATGGCAACCTTCCTTGGCCAGCTCGATTGCAATTTGGCGCCCGAGTCCGTTGGCACCGCCCGTCACCAGGGCAATCCAGCCACGGATGTCTTTCGGGTTCCGACAGACGAACTTCTTCAACAGCAAATAAATTAGCAGCGGGATCAGCTTTGCCGTGAAAATCAAAACGTTGATGACGATCCGAGTGGTCTGGACTAAAGCAATCAACGATGTCCGCGGTTCAAGCGGACTGGCAGGATTGTAGGGTTGCTTTTGGAACTCCACTAAACTTCCCATTGCGAGCGCGATCGGTGCAAACATGTAACTAAAGCCGTCCATTACCGTTAAGATCTTTCAATGCTGCATGTAGCAGCGAATGCATTCGAGCAGAAACTTACAAACCAGTTTAAGGTTAAGGGTACGCAGAGTGCACAGAATGCAATTGCACAAAAAGCGAATGGCGATGCAGCGTGGGCTTGCTGTAGCGATGATTCGTCCGTTCGGTAAGGTACTATCCACGACCAAAATGGTCCCCACTTCGTCCAAGGGAAGTTTGTATGAGTTTTTCAAACTGCCTTACAATCCCGCAACACCCAGCAGGCGGAAATCGGCCCTATGGGAATCGTTGAAGACTTTGTTGTACTTCGTGCAGTTCCTGTTCAAGAGCATCCCGGTTTGGATCGAGATCATTACCAAGTGGTTGAATCCGCCGCCACCGAAGAGCATTGCCGGATGGAATGCATTGGTCACGGGAGGATCCAACGGGATCGGACGAGCCGTAACTTTGGAACTGGCCAAGTTCGGGTGTAATGTGATCATAGCCGATGTGGATCTGGAGAATGGAGAGAAGACGGTGCAGGAAGCGCTAAAGTACCGAGTCAAGGCGGTGGCATACAAGGTGGACGTTTCCGACTACGAATCGATTGTAAATCTGGGTCAAAAGATCGAACGGGACTTTGGTCGTGTTGACATCCTGGTCAACAACGCTGGTATAATCCCATACCTAGTGCCGGACGAGTACAGTCCGGAGAACATCCGAAGGATGATGGAGGTAAACGTTCTGAGCCACTTTTGGACCATCAAAACGTTTCTGCCGGGAATGTACCATCGTCGGCGGGGGCACATCGTGGGGTTGTCCTCACGAGCGGCTTACATCCCCACAGGGTACATGTTAAACTATGCCACTACCAAATATGCGGTCCGCGGATTCATGGAAGACCTGCACGACGAGATCTATCACGCTGGGATGGAGGAACAGGTCGTTACGACTACTGTGTTTCCGGGGCTGATTAACACCCGGAAGGAATCGATTGATCACTTTTTGACACTGCCGTGAGTTGGGTGTGATAATGTTGATGTGGATTGGATGTTGACTTCGTACTTTATTTTTTTTAATCAGAGGATACGACCAGATGACACTGCCAACGCCGGAGGAAGCCGGAAAGACTATAGTGGAAGGTATCCGGACCAATCAGCGGAAGTTGTATGTGCCGAACATTCTGCAAACGTGGCAGGTGGCGCTGTTTGAGTGAGTATTGTGCCTTTAGATAAAAAATATCTGTGCGTCGCTGATGAATTGACTTCCGACTTGGCTGACAAAATTACAAAATAGCTGTCGAAAGTAACAACATCGAGAGTGGTCTGCTTTTGTCGACAGCCGAGTGAACACTGACGGAGACGATGTGTAGAGGCCGGAAATCGCATTTTGGAATCCAATATGCCTTAGTAACACATTTGTCACTGAACAGTTGGGGTTGCTTGTATGTCACTTATTTCAGTCACAATCAAGTTGCAGCAACTTATTACGATGGACTTGGGTGACGTCTTCCGGTGTTCTAAAATCCAAGATAACGACTTCTGATTTGAATCTGATCACGAGTAGAGGTCCGAAAGCGGTGTTTGACGTCATTCTGGAATTCAAAATGGTGACTTCCGGTTTGTGGAAAGCTTTCAAATTCGAACAATATTAATGTTTCGGGAACGAAGACGAAGTGTAAATCTATCGAAACCCAACAATTCAGTGCAGTTTCGGATGCCTTTGGATACGGTTGTGTTTTAAGTTTGTTCTCTGTTTTGTGCGTGCGTTCGCATTCATAGTTTTCGGCTGCATTTGCCGGATTAGCGCTGGCACTCTGCCTCCCGGACGGTTATACGTGTGTGATTGGTGGTTTTCTCGCTTTCCTAGGAAGAATCAAAGGATTTGTTAACTGGACGAGGGTTCATTGATTTGCCAGTCCCTTGTCACGTGATTACAGATGACCATCTGGTCGTTTTGTCTTCCAAAGATCTTCAATGAAGCTGCTTCACCCTGCTGCAACAAACCAGCAGGCAGAACTTTACAACCGGTAAAGTATCGGCAGACATTGGTAATCCTTGCACTGATGGTGGGTTCCATTCACATCACATCACATCATATCTATCAAAACCTAAGAATTTTGATATTTTAGGAACTAGGAAGACGTGTAGAGACCGGATATCGATGTTTGACGCCGTCCTGAATAAATTCTGACGACTTCCGGTTTGTAGAAGCTGTAGAAAATGTACAAGCCAGAAATCCTGACGGAAATCGATGTTTGACGCCGTCCTGGAATCCAAAATGGTGGCTTTCAGTTTTCTAAAATTCAAGCTGATGTCTTCCGGTTATAAAAAAAATAATTTAAAGACCCATAAATATGGGTAGATGGGACTAGATGCTTACGCCACATGACGACTTGAGTGTGAAACAATCGATAGAACTTCTTCCGCACATCGAAGGTACGTGAGCAAATCGGCGATCATCTCTTTTGCCAGTGGTAGCAGGGGGAGATACCCCTCACCATCCTTCCCCAACAGGGGAGTTTGGTAAAGGAGATGATCAACCCGATTCGTGCCTTACTCAAAGTTGACCTTTGCGTGCTTTATACTCTCTATATACAATTTTCGCACTGCCATACTCTAACAGAACTATCAACTCTATACTCTCATCTCTTCATCTATCTTATAAAATGATCACTTTAAGTCTGATATTTGACGTTAAGCATCTCCAACTATGGAAACGACAAATATGAATATTTTTGGAACGGGCACAACGTGTGGAGCCTGGAAATGAAAGTTTGATTGCATTTTGGAATCCAAATGGCAACTTCTGGCTATACAATATGGCTATTTTCGGAACGAGGACAACATGCAGAGACGAGAAATCGTTGTTCGACTCCATTTTGAAATCCAATGTGAAAATTCCGTAAAACATTCAATTTCTTACTTACTTACTTATCCTGGTCCGACATCCCTCAGATTTGCACCTGCATCACAATGTTACGCCAATTCACTCGGTCCGTGGCTGCTTGTCTCCAATTTCTTGACCGTTCCACACTTACAAGATCCTGCTCCTCTTCGTCTTGTACCGGCCGGATTCGAGGCCAGCACCATTTTTGCGGGATTGTTGTCCGGCATTCTTAAAACGTGTCTCGCCCATCCTACCCGTCCAGCTTTCGCCATAGAGTTGCGCCAGCTCGTGGTTCATCCTTCGCCTCCATACACCGTTCTCACATACCCCGCCAAAGATGGTCCTAAGCACTCGTCGTTCAAAAACACCCAGTGCTTGCAGGTCCTCCTCAAGCATCGTCCACGTCTCGTGCCCATAAAGATCTACCAGTCTGTCCAGCGTCTTGTACATGGTACATTTAGTACGGGGGTGAAGTTTACCCGACCTTAGGGGCTTGTGGAGTCCATAGTAAGCAGGACTTCCGGCAATTATGCGTCTACGAATTTCTCTGCTGCAGTTGTTATCCGACGTCACCAATGATCCGAGGTATACAAATTCATCCACCACCTCGAACTCACCTCCGTCGATTGTCACGCTTCTGTCTATGCGAGCCCTATCCCACTCGGTTCCTCCAGCTAACAGATACGTTGTCTTCGACGTATTCACCTTTAATCCAACCTTCTCTGCTTCACGTTTCAGCCTGGTGTACTGCTCCGCCACGGCCTGAAACGTTCTTCCGACAATGTCCACGTCGTCAGCGAAGCAGATGAACTGATTGGACTTATTGAAGATCGTACCCCGGATGTTAAAGCCCGTACGTTTCATAACACCTTCTAGCGCAATTGTGAACAGGAGGCAGGAAAGACCATCGCCTTGTCGAAGTCCTTTGCGAGTTTCAAACGAGTCCGATAACGCACCCGATATCTTCACGCAGCACTGTACACCATCCATCTGGTCAGCTTCCCGGGGAAACCCGTTCTCGTCCATAATATTCCAAAGCTCTTCATAGGTGGTTCGTAGGGACTTGATATTCACGACACTTTTGGAGGATCTGCCGCAACGTGAAGATTTGGTCCGTTGTCGATCGCCCGTCTACAAAATCGGCTTGATAACTTCCCACAAATCTGCTTGCGAGCGGCGATAAACGGCGAAAGAGGATCTGGGAAAGCACTTTGTAGGCCGCGTTAAGAATTGTGATCCCATCGAAAGTAGGTGAGCAAATCGGCGATCATCTCTTTTTCCAGTGGTGGCGGGGGGAGATACCCTTAACCATCCTTCACCAACAGGGGAGTTTGGTAAAGGAGATGATCAACTCGATTCGTGCCTTCCTCAAAATTGACCTTTACTCGCTTTCTACTCTCTATATACAATTTTCACACTGCCGTACTCTAACAGACCTATCAACTCTATACTCTCATCTCTTCATCTATCTTATAAAATGATCACTTTAAGTCTGATATTTCATTTTCACATTCTAGTTTGTCGGCTTTTTTATATACAACTCCTCCGGTAGCTGTTCTGTAGCCCAGATCCTGACTATCAGTCGGTGCAGACAAGTGGCCAACTTACCCGGGTCCATTTTGATAAGTTCCGCTCCGATACCATCTTTACCAGCTGCTTCGTTGTTCTTAAGCTGTCGGATAGCATCCTTAACTTCACCGTTCGTGGGAGCTGGCATGTCCCCCTCATCCGCTGTACCGATGAAGCCATTCCTCCTGCCGCCTTGGTCCTCCGCCTCTGCGCCGTTCAGATGTTCATCGTAGTGCTGCTTCCACCTTTCAATCACCTCACGTTTGTCCGTTAAGATACCCCCTTCCTTATCCAGACATATTTCGGCTTTGCGGGATGCGTTGAGTTTCTTGTAGAACTTGCGTGTTTCTTGAGAACGATACAGCTGCTCAATTTCTTCGCACTCCAGCTCTTCCAGGCGGCGCTTCTTATCCCGGAAAAGATGGGTTTGCTGTCTTCACTTCTGTTTATATCGCTGCACATTATGACGGGTTCCTTGCTGCAGCATCGCCGCCCGCGCTGCGTTCTTCTCGTCCAAAACTCTTCGTCGAACCAATCGTTCCGTCGATTCCGCCCCACGAACCCAACGGCGCCTTCCGCAGCGCTGTTAATGGCTGCTTTCACGTTGTTCCAGCAGTCCTCAAGAGGGGCGTCGGTGAGCTCTCCCTCATCCGGCAACGCTGCGTCGAGGCATTGCACGTACTCAGTTGCGACTTCGGGCAGCTTCAGTCGCTTCAGATTGTACCGTGGCGGACGATGACCATTAGAAGGTAGTGGTCCGAATCGATATTTGCACCGCGATAGGTCCTAACGTGGATAACGTCCGAGAAGTGCCTTCCGTCGATCAAAACGTGGTCGATTTGCGGTTCTGTCTGCTGCGGTGATCTCCAGGTGTACCGATATGGGAGGCTTTGCTGGAAGTAGGTACTACGTATGGCCAACAATCAATACGAAACTAACGATTTGAAATTGGCTCACTACTTGACTAGCCTATTGGTCCCAAGCAAACGATTAAAGTACCCCATTCTAGTCGAAATTCTAGTACTACACAATGTTTATTTTGATTAGCTATGAAAGTTTGACAGATAAAATGAGGGGTTAGTGGATTTTACTATGTTTCGAGGGGTTAATCGATTAGCTTGGGACCGAAGGGAGTACCAGAGCTGAGCCAAAAAGTTGAGCACGTTTCTTCGGGACCTTCTAGTCTTAGATTTACCTCTATGGTATGGCCATGTTCTTAGAGGCGGTGAAATCGATGAGTCTAAGGCCGTTGGCGTTTGTTAGCTGGTGAGCGCTGAAATTTTTTCTAGCCGGTCTGAATTCCTCTTCCTGGCCGACCTGAGCGTTAAGATCTCCGATGACGATTTTGACGGAAGCTGTCGTATTCCCGTTCCAACTGCGTCTTTATCGTCATCGTCACTTGCTAAGTGAGGGCTGTGCACTAGAGTGATGCAAAATTTGAAATTTTCGCTCCACAATACTTAAACGATTCCAAATCTGATCCTGACCAACCTCTCAAAATTTGAACCCATTTGGTGAGAAACTGAGATGGCACAAACCATTTGAAGTTTGTATGGGAATTACTATGGTACAAACAAAATTTTTGTTCATGTCTATCTAATAATTCACCATATCGATCTGCTTCAAAAGCTTTCAACTGTAGGAACTTGTAGGAAATTTTCCCAGCTACAACTTTGCTCAAGACCATTTTTTGATTAAATGCAAGGATCGAAAGTTATCAATGGTTCAATGCGCTGATGTCTTATGATCATGCT